CACTTTGGCTTAATATGTTGCTATTTTGTCATAAATGTTACAACTTGCTTTGTAGTAAATTGCACCCTGTAGCATCACTATAGACAAAACAAGAGTTATTCTTTGTGTCTGGATTTCTTTTCTGTTTGTTACATTCCTTAATATAATAAGATAGTAATATGATAAAATACATAGTTAAAAATACACTATAAGTAATGATACAATGTTAGCTTAGTTAAGTGGTTTTGGTGAAAAGATCATGTCCATGCAATCTAACTTTTTAATTTTCTGTCATTTAGGAGTTAGATGACTTCGCTTATGAAGCAATTGCCACACCTCCCCTGTGATCTTAACAGTTTCCCTACACATTTCCTGTAAAGATAGATCTAATGCGTAAACGTTCTTTATTACATAGTCTGTTTAATTTGGCATTTCTTATCTCCTGCTCTGTTAATAGCCTGCAGCAGCATAGTATGTGTAATTAATGTTCTAAATGTTTAATTAACAGAACAGGAAGTCAAAACATCTAAAGTAAACACACGGTGCTGTAAAAGGTGATTGAAAACTAAGCCATTTTTTCATGTTGCTGTGTGAGTCATACCCAAGGGAGGTGTGACTAGGGCAACAAACAGAAACAAAAGTGATTTAACTACTAAATGCCAGATAACGGAGCAGTCAGACTGCAAGGGCATGATATATGCACTAACATCACTTCATTAAGCTAAATTTGTTTTGGTATTTTGAATATTCCTTTTGAAATAGACAAAATAGTCTATATATATTAAATAGATTGACCTAATAAGATAAATATGATATAGATAGAATAGATGAAGTAGACAGAGTTAATCTTTTATACAAAAACATTTGTCAATCATGGAAGGTTTCCAGTGATTTATAAACCTGAGAGCAACTATAAATTAAACATTTAGTTATGTACTAAAGTGAGAATTCAAAGCAAATTAAAAGTGAATTTTAAATTCAAAGTTGAGATACCCAAATGCAAACATTATCTAAGTCAGTTATGCTTCCAGTTTGGCTACTATGGCCTTAAATTTTAAAAACTCTCTGAATTCCCCTTTGAATTCTCACTGTCGTGTATAACCCTGAGAGAGTCCAATTATCATAAATGCAATTATGAGTGAATACTAAAAACAATAAACTGCAGAACAAATATGGAAAATAATTACTGGTTAAATCAACCCAAACTTGACTAAATCTTAAAATTATTTAACGCTAAACAAAAATTTGTAAATATTATTTGTGAGAATATGTATTTTAATGAACATGTTATATCTAATAGTGTACCAGCACTCAGTCAATAACATATACTACAACTGCTCTACTGAAATTCTGAAAAAATATAGCTCCTTCCCCCCTCTGCTCCCCCCTTAAAAAAATAATCTTAGATGAACATTCATGGAAGAGAAATTATTAACATGAACAGCTCTTCTTAAAACAATTGAGCAAAACAAGCAATTCGGGGCCAAATAAAATGGCAGCATAAGCGGTGTGCTCCGTGTCAGAGACTCAGTAAGAAAACAGACAATCATCTTATATAACCCAGCCACCCTGCCCTCGATCTACCCAGATTAGAGTTAAAGCTCACTGAGTATACTGGAAGTGATGTCATCCCACAAGGCAAACAAGGAGTCCCATGCTGGCAGTTGAGATTTGCATGGGAATTCCCCTTCAAGATTTTGGTCTTCAAAGTATCATGACCTTCAATGCTCAAGCCACATGCTGACCTAAAGTTGTTCCTTCAGGCCCTTGGAGTAGATATCATAGTTACATAGTTACATAGCTGAAAATAGACTTGCGTCCATCAAGTTCAGCCTTCCTCACATTTGTTGATCCACAAATAAAATGACAGGTATGTAACAGGTCGATCGTGGGGTGAGGGAAACCTCTTGAAGGTAGGATGGCCAGCTACCGAGCAACCTGCCAGAGCCCCTTATTACCCTCTCACCACCCCAACCAACCCCCTTCTGGTAGGTTAAGAGCGTTTTTTTCGCATTAGCACTGTTGTTCGATAAGTATAGGATTATGTATCATACAACTGTTTGTAGTTGTTATCAAAAGATTGTGTACTTTTCTTTCTATCTTCTGTCTTTTCTTCCCTTCCCTACTTAGTAATTTGGATTCTGGTCCATCTTTGTTTCACCTATTACAACTACTTGATACTTTTAGCTACATTTCAGGATACAGAATCCTCAGCTATGCCACGTCATTGTAGTCCATTATAAAGTGCTCTAAATTGCCCAAATCTGGATCTGGATACAAAGATAAGAGTATGATGAGTTAGGCAAGAATGACATGGAAGAAGCTGCAGAGGTGTGACTGTAGAGCGCAGAAGGAATACTCCCTCCCTACCCCCCTCCCACCCCCTTTGTTTTTCGCTCCTTCATTTTTCTTCTTTCTCACCATGGGTGGGAATTTCTATTACGTTCAAAATTTAGAGACGGAGAGCAAACACTTAAATGCTTTTGACTCGCAACACTTCTATCATGTAGAAATGTTAATCTGATATTGTAAAAGACATGTAAAACAATGGGTTTTGTATCGGATGTTGCACTATGATGCATTCCTGTTTGCGTATTGTAAAAAAAACAAGGTATGACTTTGTATCAAGATCTCTTAAATAAAGAACTTTTAAAAAATTACGCAGATAAACATTCTCACACTTTATCTTGGTAAAAATACAGATATGTAAAACAGTAGATAGAGGTATTAACCAGGTTTCTCATTAGAAGGCAAGTAGACTTGTACTCTTACTGGACACACACATTTTTAATACATCAAATTTTAAATGGCATATCCATTAGTGATGGCTGCACAGTATCGCAGATCTGGTTCATCCTCTGCATACTTTAGCCTCCATTCATTATTGTAACATGTTATCTATTTTTTGAAATGTTGTTATGGTTATGTCCAAAGTACATAATAATGTGTAACTTTCTATATGATCTACAAAGCTAGACTATTTCATATCACTGAATTACTCTCCCAAAAGATTTTTAACAATACTTCTGAGACCAATTAAGACATTAAATGAAAGATGACATTGACAGTTAGATTTTTTAAATGCTTTATTCAAACCAACATAATCACAGTGCGTGTCAGATCTACCACTGGCAAATGTTTTCATAGATGACCCAGTGGAATAATAGCTAAGACTCTGGAAGCTAGATTTACATAATTCCTACTAAAATCACTCTGAAGCCCATCAACATCTTCACACTTAATCAGTCTGCTCTAATTTCTGGGTGTTACATATCTCAAAAACAATAGGTCACCTGAACAAATACTCCATCCTTAATTTCTGGGGCCTCTTTCTTCATAAACTAAGCAATGTGTTATGTAAGAATATTTAAATATAAAAGAAGATATACAATATTCTGTCTTTTAGGACATCCAGGTTCCGACTACCTGATGCAAACTAAATGAGTGGCGTAAAAAAATTTAATCAAGCAGCAGACTAAGCAATTTTGAGGTTAATATCTAAACTGAAAACATCATATGAAGTCATTTGGGGTAGGCCCTTTTATTAGGGATCCAATTTTTCACAATTGTTTATTTAAATTTATTTAAACTGTGCATTTTCCACAAATGGGCCAAGTTCTTAACATGCTCATTTGTTCTCAACAACTTCTCCAGAAAGCCACAATTATTATATCTAAGTCAATATGTACAGTGGTGGAAGAGAGGGACAGGAAATTGAATTATATGACAACTCAAAGTTTGTAAATTATGATTTAAAAGTAAGGTTCATTGTACAGCACTGAGGACCATATTAACTCTTTACAAAATAAAATCATATAGATAAATGG